ATATATATATATATATATATACACACACACACGTATATGTGTATATATATATATATACACGTATATGTATATATATATACACACATATATACATATGTGTATATATATATATTTGTAAATTGAACAATTTATAATTTAAAAAATTTGTCTTCAAGTAAAGAATGTTATAATGATTTCTCTAATAATAATGAACATCAGTACACTGAATGAGAAAAATAGCATCTTAATTCCTGCTTTATTTTTAGTAACATTCATTTCCTCTAGGAATTTTACTCTTTAAGTCTAGGAAACTCACATTCCACCCACGGGGCTACAATCCTGTATTTATTACCATGACTCATTTGGTATATCCTAAGAAATAAATAACATCCAGAAAGAAGAAATGCTGGGATGCTGGGACCATATAGTATGAATTAGAATTTTTGTATTATATGTGAAACAGAAGATGAATCTATTTTTTTTAAATGTTTCTTTTGAGAGACAGTGAGAGCATGAGTGAAGGAGGGGCAGAGAGAGAGAGAGAGATGAAGAGAGAGAATCTCTAGCAGGCTCCAAGCTGTCAGCGTGGAGCCCGACATGGCACTCCGTCTCCCAACTGTGAGATCGTGACCTGAGCCAAAATCAAAAGCCGGACGCTTAACTGACTGAGCCACCCAGGCGCCCCAAGATGAGTCTATTTTTGACAATCTAATGGATTTGTAGAAAACCAAGCTAAGCTGTCAATTCCCAGCATGTCTGCTCTAGTTTAAGTACAACTTAACAACATGAACTTGAGAATATAATAAATGGTAGGAGTTGAGGTAAGGGAAGCTCTGTCAAACTCTGAGTGGCATATTTAGAAGAAACACAGATTAAGACTGCTTTTGATTGCAAAGAAATTTTTGAGTCCTAGGCTATGGAAGCTTAAATGTGGCATCTATTTGAAGTCCGTACTGACTTGTGCCAAGAGCTGACCGTAGATAACTTATCTCTGATGAATATTTTATCAAGAGTTTACATCTCTTACCTGTGAAACTTCAAAATCTGCTTGGAGATTTCCAGATGTTAACCCACTTAGAAGAACAATTTCATTTTCTTTTGGCTGCTGGACATTCATGGAGCTGATAAGTTTTGGAAGATCTGGTGAAACGTTGACCAATTTCTGTAGAGGAAGAATCTTTATTAGTTTAGATGATTTCTTTTCACCTCCAAAACACTACCCCCAAACTACTTACTTGCAAAAATAATATACCTGAATAACTGCACCAATGATAGATTACTTAATCTACTAAGATTATTACTAGACGAAGTGTGAAGCTGAAACTTGAAGGTTCACACTGGAATAGGAAATTACTTAAAGCTTTAAAAACTCTTTGCTTCTAAATATGCCAAAGTAGACATTTAATAATTACTGTCACACCACAGGTATGCATAGTAGGGGTTTCTTCTTTCCCTTAAAACTTGGAATGAGAGACTTGTCTAATCATCATCTGTTTTAACAAAGTCAATAATCATATCAATAATAAAATAATTTCTAACATTAATTTTGCTCTATGTACCAGGCACTGTGCTAAACTCTGCACACATGTTACATTTTAGTACATTTAATCCCCACAACACCCCCACCCCGATTAGGTACCATTACTACTTTTTTTATTTTTGCACATAAGTAGCCTGAGGCCCAGAGAAGATGAGTTCACACAAGTTTAGGCAGCTAAGTGGATGCCCGGTTTCTACCCTTAGCTGTAGAAGAAGACGGTCTCAAATCACTCACATAAATCTTCAAACACACAGTCCTTAAGATGCCAACTTGCTTTGGTCCCTCCTTCTTTCTCTTTGACTCTGCACCACAAGTCCCCTAAACGAAATGATATGTACACTTTTTTTTAATCCCTCCAGCACTACACGGATGAATGACGTCGGAAGCTCTGTGGAAGTCTGTAATGGATAAGCTGTATGGGCAATTGGGTTTGAGAAGCTTCAGGTGCAGCACTGGCAAGGGAACAAAAAACAAAACGAAACAAGAGCGCCTGGGTGGCTCAGTGGGTTAAGCTTCCGACTTCGGCTCAGGTCATGATCTCGCAGTTCATAAGGTCGAACCCCGCATCCGGCTCTGTGCTGACAGCCTGGAGCCTGCTTCGGATTCTGTGTCTCCCTGTCTCTCTGCCCCCACCCCTGATTGCACTCGTCTTTCTGTGTCTCAAAAATGAATAAGTGTTAAAAAAAAAAAAAAACCAAAACGTTACAGGAATAACTCAGTCATCACAGGCCGGCTGTTCTGTGATGTCAAGCTGCAAATAGTGTGTTACTCTACCGTATTATGCCAAAGAGTAGGGTCAAACCATCTTCAGCTTTGGGCATGAAAGGATAATCAATTCACACCAATTAATTCTTCCTATAGGACCCCTTGTTAGCTCTCGTTCCAAAGGACTGAGGGGTCCTTCAACGTCTTGCACGTTGTCAAGGATTTACGTCGGGATCATCACAACCTCCGATGAGCCTGGAATACGTAGCTGCTGGAGAACGCACAAGTGCGAGTCCCAGATGAGTGTAGGGCTGGGAAACCAAGGTTAGAGACCAAGCGTTTCCTCAAAGCAGCAGGAAGGAGCATATCTGAGACCCGCAGAGAAGGGCTGGTTGGTATCCAGCAGGTTGGGAAAAGCCTTGGAGACATCATCTCAGGCGGGGTGTTTGAGACAGGATGAAGACGGGGGCTGAAAAAGCCACTATCAGGCCCCGTGGGCAGGAAAAAGCGCCTGTTTGGAGAGCGGCCCTGTTATCTTGGGAAAGCAAGCATCACAAACATAAGGAAGGCAAACTGTGGGAGGTGGCAGGGAGACGGTCAGGGAATGGGCCGTGATGACACCATCCAGCTGAAGAGTCTCCAACTAAGTGAGCATCATTTATGGAAAACGTCACGTCAGCTGTCTGGTCAGTGTAGGCAGCCCTTGTCACGAGCTCCCGGGGAGTCCGTGCTCCCAGCATTACCTGCTGCAGGTGCTCCGTGCTGCACGCATCCTTGTTCACATCCAGGTTCACGAAGCAAACCTGAGAAAGAGGGCAAAAACAGCCATGTAAGTGAAAAACCGTGGCAGTTCTTTTAGAAGAAAGCAGGAGTCCATTTGGGGAAAATGATGTAAGAATCCCGCACATTTTGTGTAGTTGATCGGATACAGAAATGGCCGCTGTACCTTTGGGCTTCTATGCAAACCTCTAAGGCCCTCCTCACAAATCCCTGGATTCCACAGAGCTCCCCTTTCCGTTCGTGGCACAACAAACCAGACAGTCTCTTTGTATTCAAGTCCATGTAAGTCACAACAAAATCTGCAGGCTTATACAGGGTTAGCAAAACTCATGAAATAAGAAAAAAGACTTGGTCCCCCTTGAAACCTCTGTTTATAAACGCAGTGAACGTTTCTCTCCATTTCTCCCTTTTTTCCCCTCATCTTCCTTTTCTCTTCTCATTTTTAATACAGTGCAGGAAAAGTGGATTTCTCTTTGTTTCAGGGTTTTAGCTGATTTATTTAATCCTGCTGTATAGTTTGCCTCTTTTTAGCCATCTTAAATAAGTGTCTGAATAGGCTGAGTATGAAAACAACAGTGACAACATTAAAAAAGAATTCAGAACAACAGTAAGAGAGTGGTTGTAGTTTAAAGCTCAAACACAGCACAAGAGAAAAAATCTACTATGGGCATTCACATGGAGATGGGGAGAAGAAAACTTAGAGAACAAAGAGGTGAGATGTATTCTTTTTTCCCTCTGAAATTAATTAATTAATGAATTTGAGTATAGTTGGCACACAATGTTTTATCAGTTTCAGGTGTACACAGTGATTAAAGTTTCTTATTCTTAACAAGTTAATTTGCCCATATAAAACTGATAAAATTAATTATTTGGATATTTAGTCAGACGTTTGGGTCAATTCCTGGAAGCATACGCACTCTTCCGATTTCAGTTAGTTGTTCGGGATCATGATTTCCTAGAGTCCATCTTTTTCTTTTTGAGGTTTAATAAGAAAACATAATTGAAAGGCTTTGGGTAAGTCTTTAAGAACTACGTAGTTAGGGG